AGGAGTTTCTACAGCCTGAAGCTCCTTAAGAGACTGATAACAATCAGCCACCCCACCCTGTGGAGTTTCTACAGCCTGAGGCTCATTAAGAGAATCAGATTAATCAGCCTACAGCCAGAGGTGGACCTCAGAGAAAAGTAGACTTTGGTGTGCATCTTGGTCCTGTCCAAACACACCCAGCCCCAGAAGAGGAGACCTCAAGCCAAAGGTAATGTTGATAGCTCCAAACAGGGTACTCAGGGCCAGTCACAAACTGTGTCTAACATTGGCCTGCATCAGAGACCCTCCAAAAAGACTGAGAGTCCTAGCAGATCTACCTAATACATAGAAACAAACCCAAACAGGCAACCAAAATGGGGAGACAAAAGCCCCAAATGAAAGAACAAGAGAAGTCTCTAGAAAAAGAGCTAAATGAAATGGAGATAAGCAATCTATCAGATATAGAGTTCAGAATACTGATTGTAAGGATGCTCAACAGCATGAAAAAAAATATGGAAACTATGAAGGAAATTAAGAATGACATAGTAGAAATAAAGAATACATTGGAAGGAATAAGCAGCAGATTAGAGGAAGCTGAGGATAGGATCGGTGACTTAGAAGACCGGGTAGAAAAAATTACTCAATCAGAGATCCAAAAAGAAAAAACAATTTAAAAACAGGAGGACAATCTAAGGGAGCTGTGGGACAACATGAAACAACAATATTCGCATTATAGGAGTGCCAGAAGAGGTTGAAAGTAAGCAAGGTTTAGAGAACCTGTTTGAATAAATAATGGCAGAAAACTTCTCTAACCTGGTGAAGGAAAAAGTCACACAAGTTCAGGAGGCACAGAAAGTCCCAAGCAAGAAGAAGCCAAAGAGGCCCACACTCAGACACATCATAATTAAAATGCCAAGAATTCAAGACAAAGAGAGAATCTTAAAGGCAGCTAGAGTAAAGTAATCTGTTACCTACAAAGGAGCTCCCATAAGGCTGTCAGTTGACTTCTCATCAGAAATTCTACAGGCCAGAAGGGAATGGCATGAAGTATTCAAGGTAATGCAAAACAAGGATCTGTTATCGTTCAAGCTAGATGGTGAAATAAAGAGCTTCCCAGACCAAAAAAAAAAAAAAAAGGCTAAAGGAGTTTATCACCACCAAATCAGCATTGCAGGAAACGTTAAAGGAACTGCTGTAATTAGAAGTAGAAATAGAAAGAAAAGAACAAACATATAGATCAGTGAAACAGAACAAAGAACCCAGAAATCAACCCAAGCCATTACATTCAATTAATATTTGACAAAGGAGCAAGAACATACAATGGAGTAAAGACAGTATCTTCAATAAATGGTGTTGGGAAAATTAAGACATGTACATGAAAAAAAAAAAGAAACTAGACCACCAATTTACACCATATACAAAAATAAATGCAAAATGGATAAAAGACATGAATGTAAGACATGAAACCATAAAAATCCTAGAAGAAAACATAGGCAGCAAAATCTCAGACATCTCTTGTAGATGGAGTTTCCTCAAAAAATTAAAAATTGAACTGCATTTGACCCAGTAATCCCACTTCTAGGAATATATCCTAAGAGATCTGAAACAACAATCAGAAAGAACTTACGTACCTCTATGTTCAGAGCAGTGCAATTTACAATAGCTAAGATCTGGAAACAGCCCAAGTTCCCATCAGTAGATGAGTGGATAAAGAAGCTGTGCTACATTTATACCACGGAATACTATGCAGCTATAAAAAAGAAGGATCTCTTATCCTTCGGGAGAGCTTGGAGGGAACTGGAGAGTTTTATGCTAAATGAAATAAGCCAGAGAAGGACAAGCACCACATGATCTCACTCATATGTGGAATGTAATAAACAAAATAAACTGATGAACAAAATAGATCCAGAGACATAGAAGCATGGTACAGACCGAGGGATCTCAGGGGGAAGGTGGGGGTGGGGGAGTGGGTAGGGAGAGATTAATCAAAGAACTTATATGTTTATAAGCATAACCCATGGACACAGACATTGGTATGGGGAAGGCCTGGGGGGAGGGGGGTGGAAGGGATGAATGGGAGGAAAAAGGGGACATCTGTAATACTTTCAACAATAAAGATACATTTTAAATAAATAACAACTCACACCTCCAGGTCTTGATAACCAATAAAATATCTGGGGTTTCATTTATATTTTGGCCTGGAGGGCACAAATTATGCCCATCAATCATATAAAGTGACTTTTTCAATTTGCACACACTAGAAATAATTTACACATACACACACACACACTTTAAATCCAGTACACACCTCCCTCCTCTACCATGTAAGCACAGCAAGAGCACAAAAGCTATGCAAACACTGATAATCACATATAACATTTTTACGGTGGTGGCACAAACAAATAAATGGTACTTAATGTGTTTTAATATTAATTCTAAAAGGAGACATGAACAATTTTCAATGCACAGTATCAAAATCTGAGGAAACCCTATTTTCCTTATTTGTAATGAGTTGTATCTATAATTATTGATGGACCAAATTTTCTCTTTCTTTTCTTATTCTATCAAAAAGACAATGCTTCCTATGAAGATTTTCTGAAACAAGTATTTTATCCTACTGGCACATGGAAATGGTGTCCTTATTTAGTAACCTGAAGTTATGCCTCTTTTATGAGGCATAAAACTCTTCCTCAGCAAATAAACAACACTAATGAATGTTCTTATGAAAACTGGCACCAACAATGATAAAGAAAACTTCCGGTGCATTCTGTAAATACCCATTTTGGGAGATATATAAAAGTCCCAGGAGGGAAGGAGACTTTTGGAGTCAGGCAACTTCAGTTTTGCGTCTGATCTTTGTTCCTCGCTTCCAGAAGGATGACTTCTGACTGTTCCCCCACATGCTGCTCTTCTGAGTCCAATGCTGAGCTTTCCAATGGTGCAAATACTTCAACCTGTTCCACGGAAACCACTTGTCTCCCCAGCACCTGTGCTGCATCCAGGTGCCAGACCCCTAGCCTCCTATCCAGGTCTCGCTTGCTGACCGGTTGCTTCGCGCCATGCTACCTTGCTGGGACTTGTAATAGTCCATGCTTGGTGGGGAACTGTGTTTGGTGTGAGGATGGGGTGTTCAACAGCAATGAGAAGGAGACGATGCAGTTCCTGAATGACAGACTCGCCAGCTATCTGGAGAAGGTGCGTGGCCTGGAGGAGATGAACGCGGAGCTGGAATGCAGGATCCAAGAACAGTGTGAAGGGGACATCCCATTGGTGTGCCCCGATTATCAGTGTTACTTCAACACCATTGAAGATCTCCAACAAAAGGTCTGGTGTCTCATTGTCCTAATGCTCCACCTTCCCAATCTGTGGTTTGCTTTATCTTCATACGAGAATAGGTTCTAGAAGGAAACCAACGAAAAGGGACTTCCAAGTGGCCATGTGATGTAGAGGAAAAGGCACTGAAAGTCAGGAAACAGCCTTAAGCCCAGGGCTGTCTAGTGAGGGTGACCACAGAACACTCACGCACCTCTAGAGTTTACCTTTATCATCTACAGAATGAGGAAAAACTGCTGTATCTAAAATTACTTCTATAGGTAACACTATCTGTATTATTTTTAACATAGATATTGAAACACCGCCTTTTTAATCATATAATTTCACCTAGTAATAATTTTCTTTCTTATTGATGAATTTTATTATCATGGGTGGGCATATGGTCATAATACACACTGCTTAAGGACAAAAATGTGACTGAGTTCAACTGCCAAGGAATGCCGCAAGACGTCTTGGGTCATTCAAAAACAAAACCTTTTTATTCCTGTTTCGTTTATAAATTGTCACTCTTTTTCTCCTTCATGCAGTGACATGGCTAATAAGAAAAGTGGGCTAAACGCTATTTTATGCTTTCTTACAAAGACCTTTAAAAGGTAAATAATGGCATAGCTGTTAAATGAACAGATGTTTAGATTTCTTTCAGAGAACCACTTATTACTTAATAACTTACTTCCCAGATTTTGTGCACGAAGGCAGAGAATTCTAGACTTGTTATACAGCTTGACAACTGCAAACTGGCGGCTGATGACTTTAGATCAAAGTAAGTTTAATTTAAATTTGAATATAATTTATGGTTTCGTCTCTCTCCCTTTCTCTCTCTCACATACACACACACAAACACATCACAAATATTCTATATTTTTTAAAGCTAAGAATGCTCATAAAGCTCAAATTTATCATTTTGGGGGATGTATAAGAAATGACAGCATGTGGCTTCCCTGAGTCCATGTGTCATTTGTCAGTATGCCCTAGCGCTTTGCAGTGTCTCGAAAAGTAAGCATTGGCCGCCTATATTTCTCTTGTTATGAAAGGTACGAGTCTGAGCTGTCTCTTCGCCAGCTGGTAGAGTCTGACATTGGCAGCTTACGAGGGATCCTGGACGAGCTGACCCTGTGCAAAGCTGACCTGGAGGCCCACGTGGAGTCTCTGAAGGAAGATCTCCTTTGCCTTAAGAAACACCATGAAGAGGTGAGGAAAGGGGCAACATCACTGAAAGAATGTTAAGACTGACAAGTTAAACTGACAAAGGGCATGTTTGTATACAAGCTGAACTTGGGTAAATGTTGCTAACGCTGGAATGCAATTACTCAAGGCGCCATTACTATTCGTCCTGATCATTCCTGTGTGTCTATGAATGTACTATGAAGTGACCCCTGGCCAGAGCTAGATGAAGGAGCCAAACTCTTCACCTGCCATTGCTTTTGTGGAGAAGGTAACTCCACGAATGGCTTTCCTTGGAGGCTTTATGCCACGCCTAACTCTAAGCCATAAAGTATGAAAATCAGGCTGACAAACACAGCATGTGAAGGCCATTTCAAAAAGGGGATCAAAACTCATGCAACATTTGGACCACATGTTTTAAAAATATTCTGCATCTATAAACTTTTTTAATCATAAAATATAAAGTGTATGATTATCCTATGTTGATGAAGCTACAAGTGAAATGCTGAATAATGTAACAAAGTACATTTTCCCCTTGAACGTCTGTTGATGATAATGGCAGCTGGCATTTATTGAGACCTTACTATGTACCAAGGGCTTTTATAACCGCTTTACATGCACATTAACTCATATATCTCACAATAACCTTCTGGGACAGGTAAATTTTTATACCCATTTTGCAGATGAAGAAACTGAGTGATGAAGCGGTTCAACAGAGGCAATCCAAATCTAAATCCCACACGCTTACTCACTTCGCTCCAAAACAAAAATGGGATGCCATGGATGTCGAAGTGATTTTCCCCCCACCACCCTGTGACATTCTTTACTTCATTTCCGCTTTCAGGAGGTCAACGTGCTTCGTGGACAGCTTGGTGACCGACTCAATGTGGAGATCGACAGTGCCCCCACCATCGATCTCAACAGGGTCCTGAATGAGATGCGCTGTCAGTATGAAACGGTGCTCGCCAACAACCGCAGAGACGTGGAAGAATGGTTCGCTGTTCAGGTCGGCACCTGGGGCAACAGGATGACAGGCTCCCAGACTTCCCCCTTGCTTGCCTTTTCCAATCATGCCTATGTTTCAGACGGAGGAGCTGAATCAGCAGCAGCTGTCCAGTGCAGAGCAGCTGCAGGGCTGCCAGACGGAGATCCTAGAACTGAAACGCACAGCCAATGCTCTGGAAATTGAGCTCCAAGCACAGCAAAGCATGGTGTGTAAGGAAAGACCACTAGCTCTGTTTTGTCACTGAAGAATCAGGCCCTAAGACACTATCCCCTCTTCCATAACCCAAAAGAGAGCCCCACACAGTTCATGTGGCAGAAAGTCTGAATCGCCAGTTTGCAAGGATTATATTTTCTTGCCTTTCCCAAGTATCAGCTAGAAGCAGAAGTGAAAGGTCAACAGCTTGTACTGTCCCAATAGGATGTCCTGACCTTCTCTCTTGGGCCTGAGCATGATCCTACAGCACCCTCCAGAGACAGGGAGACAGGGAGAAGGGCAGGAGCAGAACAAGAGAGGAACCTCTGAGCCAAAGGCACTCAAGCATCCCAGTGGGTTTTCACTCTCTTTTGATTAGGACCAATCTTCCAAGCTCACAATCATATCTAAAACAAAGGATGGTATTCATACTTTGCATTTAACCAGTTCCATGCAAACACCACAGTGTGTGCCACGTTAGGTCCGATAGAGAATATCTCGGTCAAGCCTCACAATAACCTTATGGGGTAAATCCCTTTACTAACCCCATTATGCAGATGAGGAAAACTGAGACTCGGATAAGTAACAAGAGGTCATGCACCTTTTAAGAAACAAAAGTGGAAGCTGAATTCCAGTGGTTCAATCCCAGAGCCTCCTCTCTTCACCACACTATACCACCCCTCCCTGCCACAAGCCCATACTCAACGTTTTCTTCCAAACGCTGTTGACCCTCCTTAAGCTACACAAATACATTGCAGATTGTGATGGTCCTAGTGGTGGTAGCAATAACTAACACTTATATAGCCCTTACAACTTTTTTAGGCACTATTCTAAGTGCTTTACACATATTAACCTATTTAATCCTCACAACCATCCTATGAGATAGGTACTTCGCATTGCCTACTTTTTATAGAATAAAACTGAGGCTCAGAGAAACTAAGTAATTTCCCCCAAGTCACATAGCTGAAAAAGGGAGATCAGGGATTTAACAATAGGCAGTCTGGCCCCTGAGACTATGCTACACAGCCCTTTTCACACTCTTTCTCTCTGCAGACAGAATCCCTGGAATGCACTGTGGTGGAAACCGAGGCCCAGTACAGCTCCCAGCTGGCCCAGATGCAGTGCCTGATCGACAACGTGGAGTCCCAGCTGGCCGAGATCCGCTGCGACCTGGAGCGGCAGAACCAGGAGTACGAGGTGCTGCTGGACACGAAGGCCCGGCTGGAGGGCGAGATCAACACATACCGGGGGCTCCTCGAGAGCGAAGACAGCAGGCAAGTGCCACACAATTATTCTCAAAATCACCTCGAGTCACAAAAAGGCTTATATAAAATCCTGCTTCCCCAAGATCTGGCCAAAGTCAAACCTCCCTAATGTGTTCAAGGATCTTCTTAAAAGAGTGGTGAGAAGGAGCTGACGCTAATCACATGACCATAGAAATGTTCAAAAATATTCTAAAGTTATAAAGCAGAATAAATATCATTATATAACTCCTCATGCTGGATGATTAGATCATCTAATCATCTCCCTTTGCTCCTGTCTCCCATTTAAGGGAAATCAGGAATATACATAAGGTGGCATTTGCAAAGTGAAGAAAATACATAAAATTTTGTTCAGCTGACACTGTTGCAGGGAACATGAAGTGACAATGCTGGGTCCAGGGGTGACAGGCTTAGGTCAAACGTTATTCTGCAAAGAGTGCCCTTCAGAGCATAATTTGCAGGGCAAACCTTGGCATGATTTTTTCAGAGTTGACATTTTATCCAGCTTTCCCTCGTGAAGCTTAGTTCAAAATGGATTTTCCACAGGCTTCCCTGTAACCCATGTTCTACAACAAGCACGTCGAGCGACACTGGAGAGCAGTGCTCAGCTTATGTAATTTGTACAGTCGAAAGCTGCTGTGTATGAGCACCAAACACCCAGCCTGGCAGATGGAGGAGCTAAAGCCAGCATGTGCTCAAAAAGGAGATGGGGCTTCAACCAGGGACGTCCAAACTAGCAGCCAAGTCGAGAAGGCTTTCATACCCTAAAATGGCCCTCTGGGCATCCTTGGTGTGTTTCTGCTTTATCATTTCCTCTCCTGCCTGCTTATTTGTGACATTCTAGGAGTCTGTAAAGCTTTCTTGCTAATCTCCAAATAAAATGCATTTCGTTCCTTTATGTGGGAAATATAGCTTTGCGGCTTATTACTGTTGATATAATAACCATTTGATGTAGTTTGCTCTTCCATAAACCCAAGCTGAAAATATTTTTTTAACTCCTCAAATACAAATAGATGAACTAATTCATGCAAAATGTCAATATCAAGGAAGACAGTTGCATGTATCTTTCTGAGAGGGGATTTAGAAATAAAATATAATAAATTTGCTGTTGTTGCTGTTGCTAATCCTCACCTGAGGATATTTTTTTCTCCTACATAAGCCTTTTTGTGACTCGGAGTGATTTTGAGAATGATTGTGTGGAACTTTCCTGCTGTCCTCACTCTCGAGAAGACCCCAGTACATTTTTCAGAGAGAGTGTGGAAGGGAAGGAAGGGGGAGAGAGAGGGAGAGAGAGAGAAACATCAATGTGAGAAAGACACATCGATTGGTTGCCTCCTGTATGCACCCCAGACTGGGGATCAAACCCGAAACCTAAGTATGTGCCCAGGAATCGAACCTGCAACCCTTAGGTCCCCAGGTGGACACTCTAAAACCAGTCGGCAATTTTATTTTATTTTTAATGATAAAAGTACTAGAGTCCTTTTTTTCAATTTGGCACACAAAGGGGATGGAGGGAAATTGTCATAATTCCACACCCTCAAGGTCAGTTGTCAGTATTTTGGGAACTTCCAAGTTTTCTTTCTTATAATAGGTTTTTCCATATAGTGGTATCACAGTTACATATGCATATAGTTGCATAACCTATTTTTTTCACTATATCATCTAAGCATTTTCGATCCTAATAAATATATAAGATCATCTTGTGACCATTATTTTAGTGGCTGCATAAAATACAATACGGTGCATTGGTCTGTTATTGGACATGAAGAATGTAAGAATCATTATTCTCACACATATAAAAAGCAAAGTAGAGAACTTCCATAAAGATGACATACAGGTCCGTTTCCCCATTCCTCTTCCTAAGTATGACAAAAATCCCTGGAAATTACGTGTACAAATAGAAGCAGACTCTGAAAGGCGGAGGAAGAGGCCAAGCCATCTAGAGTCCTTGACATCCAAGGAACAGCACAACAGTGAGTCTCCTGGGCTTGCTTTTTGTCTCCTACAACCTGTATTGGGAACTAACTGGAGAAACCAACCACCCAGGAACGCCAGCAGCTGCAGACAGAAAAGAAAAAAAAAAATGCTCTAAGAAAAGGCGAGTAAAGGGAGGAAGGGCAGTGAGCTTTCTGTACTTCACTGAAGAGACAGAGTGTCAGCACCAGTAGACTGATAAGTTACATATCTATAACGTAATACCTAAAGGAACTACTTAAAAAGCTATGCAAAGAAAAATTACAAATGCTACGAATAAATAAAAGTGGAATTCTAAAACACATTCAAGTAACCCACAGGAAGGCAGGAAGAAGAAAAAAGAAATGAAAAACAGAAACCAAAATGCAGACGTAAGCCCCACCGAATCAGTAATTACAGCCACCAGAAATCATCTAATTATCCTAATCAAAGGACAGAGATTGGCAGAGTAAATAAAAAACTTAATACTTTCCACAAGAAGCTCACTTCAAATATAATGATATAGGTAGGTTAAAAGTACAGGGAATGGGGGGAAATACACGATTGTTCACAGCAGCTTTATTTGCAATAGCCAAAACGGGAAACAACCAAAATGTTCTCAAGGTCTGAAGGCCACTGTGGTGAGTGGAAAAAGGCAATCTTGAAGGGTCATGTACTGCATGATTCTATTTACACCACATTCTTGAAAAGATAGAAGTATAGAGATGGAGGACAACTAGGCACAGCATGAAGGAGATCTTTGGGGTGATTAAATAGTTGTATATCTTGATTACAGTGGTGGCTACATGAATCTACACATGTAAAAAAAAGTATATAGAACTAAACGCATACATTGTACCAATGTCCTGGTTTTACAATTGTACTGTGGTTGAGTGAGACGTAACCATATCTTTGCAAATTCATGTGAATCTATAATTATTTCAAAAGTTAAAAAAAAAAAAACAGTAGGAAGCTGGAGAAAAGTTCTCCTCTTTTCTTTTCTATTTCTATTTTCAGAAATAAAGTGCATAATAATAACAGTTAATAAAGGGTAGGTTTAAAGAAAAGTCAAGTTTCAGACCTAAAATTTTATGCTAGATTTTTTTTTTTTTACATTGTACTCTCCTGACTTAACAACAAAGGGTAGTGAAAATACTCAAAATTAAATATTTTCCAGATAAATAAACCCATGAAATAGTGTTCAAGCCCCATTACTCCTCTGATAATAAAATTGGGAAGAAATTTAATACTGCAGTATCTTACCCATGTTGAAATTTCTACCATATTAATTTTCCAGACTGCTTGTTACCCAGCACCTGTTCTCTGCATTCCTCATGGTTTCTTTCCTGCCCTAGTTAAGATTGTGGCTGAAACAAAATGTAGTTTTGTTTAACAATTTCCTCACCATCTGTAATTCCCAATGAACTATATCCAATTTCCATGATAGGTAACATTTTGTGTGGATTAACTAATCTATTTGTATTTTAGGAGTTAAAAATATTTTCTGCCTGGATTTATGCAAAATCAAAGTAGAACTGAAGTAGGAAAGTATAATATAAGATGGTCACTTTGAGGGATCTTGTATTACTGTTAGCCTGTCACAGCTGTTTTCACAGTTTTTGCATAATATTGTACAAACTATTACCCTAACGACATAGTTTAGTTCTAGATCTGTCCATTTCTTGGGTTAGCTATCCTGTTCTCAAGGGTGTTAGGATGGGAGAGCTCACATTTTTCTGACCATACTGCACTTGAACTGGCCAAATGGCCTTTCCTGTCTACATTCCAACAGTGATAAAGACTTCTAAAACTCTAGGGGCATCGGATACAGGTCTACTTTGGAAGTAGTGTAATAGGTTTATATTCGCATAACGATGAATATATGCATTTAAATATGGTTATTGGAAAAGTATAGACCAAAATTTTCATTGACATCCCAACAATGCATAAGTTAATCAGACATCCCACAGCAAATTAATTAATAAAGATGATGATAAACTAAGAGGAAATTATACATAAAGAGCAATTTCAACCACTGAAAATTTTGACATCTAAAAATTGATCAGTCTTCCTTCAAATTGCAGAAATTCCATCTTTTTTCCACATGGACACATGCAATAGACATATATGTGAGTTTATTTCTAGACTCTGTGTTCTTTCTCATTGATCTGTTTGCCAAAGCTTATGCCAATCCTGCACTGTTTAGATCATAATATTATTATAGTAACTTGCACAAATTTACACTCCCACCAGCAATAAATGAGAAGCTTTACAAAATACAATGCATTTGTTATCAAACTTTGATTTTTTTTCAATCTGATAGATGGAAAAATAAAATATCTCAATGTAGTTTAAATTTACATCTCCTTTTATTATGATAACATTAAGCATTTTATTGCTAAAGTACTTTTTATATTTTTTATTAAAATTTTTTAATGTTGACATTATTCAGGTGCCTCCGCCCTTACCCATCATTTATATTTTCTTTCTGGTAACCGTCTGTGGTGTAATTGCAAATATTCTATCCCAGTTTGTCATCTGTCTTCTGATTTTGTAGGTTGTATTTTTTATCCATGCACAGTTATTTAATGTAGTCAAATTTATAAATCTTTTATAGTTTCTTAATTTTGAGACATTACTCAAAAGGCCTCTGACTGCAAATTTGTAAAGGATCTTCCTATGTTTTCTTTTAGCACATTTATGATTTCATTTTCACTTCTGAATCTTTGATCAATTTGTAATTTGTCCTACTGTAAGGTATGATCCAACACTGCCTGCCCTGCCCTCCTACCCCAAGTAATACAGATTGTCTCCAAACTACATATGATACTCTGTGTTTTCCCCAATGATTTTAAATGTCACATTTATCATACACTAAATCCCAATTTTTTGGGAGTCCATTTCTAGGCTGCTTATTCTATTCCATTAATCTGTCTGACTATTTATGCATCGACACTGCTTTAATTCTTGAGGCTTTTAAATATATTTTAATAAGAACTAATTTCTCTGTGGCATTTCTTATTTCGAATTTTCCTGACTATTTAAATTTCTCATAAAACTTCAGCATTATCTTGTCTAGTAGAAAAAAGTCACATTTTGAGAGGACTGCAAGAAATTTATTGGGATCTAAGTTAAATTAACATAGAGATAATTGACATTTTTATAATGATGAATACAGCATTTCAGGTCAAGAATATGATATATTTTTCCATTTATTCTAATTTTCAGTCCTTCAGTATATATTAGCATTTTATTCATGTAGATCTCGTACCTTTCTAACTAAATTTATTTCTGCACATTCTATATTTGCTGATGTTATTGTAATTTATGTTTTTTTCTTTGTATCATGTGATATGCAGAACAATGGGCCCCCAAAGATGTTCATTTCCTAATTCCAGAACCTTTGAATATGTTAGGCTACATGGCAATGGGGAAGTAAGGTTGCTAATCAGCTGACCTTCAAATAGGAAGATTATCTTAGACGATATGAGTAGGCCCAATACAATCAGAAGGGTCCTTAAATGTGGAAGAGAGAAGCAGAAGGGTCAGTGTCAGAGTGATGCATATGAGAAAGAGTCAACTGGCCATCGCAGGCTTTGAAAGTGGAAGGGGGCCATGAGCCAAGGAATGTGGGCGGCCTCTAGAAGATGGAAAAGGCAAGGAAATTATATCCTTTCCAAGGGCCTCCATAAAGAATCAGGAACTCATTAACTTTCTTAAGAAAATGCTGAATAAATATTCCTGAGAAAGAACACACATACCTTTCAACAGATCATATTTAAACACCAAATATAAACCAAGACCATCACAAATTTTTAGCTAATGTAATACCAGAAGCAACCACTGAGCACTAAAAACGTCATCAAATTCTGGCTTCGGAAAAACACGAAAGGTAACTAGCCTCTTTCTCAAGAAAATTCTTGTTAGCAAACAAACCCTATCTAGAGAGCTAAAACAGAAATCTGGCAATTACCTTTAAAGACTGACATTTTAATCCATACTCACAACAAAAATGGGAAAACGATTGGACAGAACAAAGAAAAAGAAAATGGGAAAATCAGCTGGGCAGAACAAAATAAAATACCAATTTCTAAGTTCACACCAGTAATTATTAGATATTCAGTTTCCCTTTTCTAGGGAAGAAAGGAAAAATAAATGGACTCATTCCCGTTCAAACTCAATGCCAGGCGAAGAGGTCAACAAGGACTTAATGAACTCAGTACGCTCGTACCTACTTAATAAGAGATGCTGCTAGAACTGTGACGGCAGTTCCTTTTGAAGAAATAATGTGAACCTCTGAATCCAATGACAAGTAGTAGTTGTGATGGGTAATGACTTAGTAACAGCCTAAACGCGCATTTTTATGAGGCAGGTAACTCTTCTCAGGCAAGTAGAAAGCAGACTAATGAGATGTTCCTATGGGATTTGACCTAAGCACTAGAAAGGAAAACATCCTGCCTGCTGTGACACGGCCTAGGCAAGGCTATATAAGCACTTCAAAGAGGAAAAAGCCACAAAGGGCTCAGAATTTAGACTCAGTCACAGCAGTTTGAGCATTTGATCCAGGGGAACCACAGACTTTGAAACAAACCAAAGCTGGGGACACGCTATGGATACCAAGGACTGTTCAATGACTATTTCTCCTGCAATGCCATGCCAACGCTGCTCTAGGATTACAGATTTTAGGATCCGCTCTTCTAACACCAGCTGCCAGTGTGATGGTCTTGAAGCCGACAGCTGCCAACCCACTGGCCACGTTCTGAGAACTCTCCAGTCCCAGGGCTGCCGACCCACTTCTTGCTTTTGTCCTGTGCCCATCTGCTTAATAAACAACTTCAACGCCTGTCCTTCCATGGATGGTCATGGCTGGTGTGGTGAAGGCATCAACAGTAACGAGAAAGAGACCATGCAAATCTTGAACGACCGCCTTGCTAACTACCTGGAAAAGGTGCGGATGCTTGAACGAGAGAACGCCGAACTGGAGTGTAAAATCCTGGACGAGTGTAACAAAGAGCTGCCTGTCTTATGTCCTGATTACCGGTCCTACTATGCTACCATTGAGGAACTCCAGCAGAAGGTAAGATTCTTAGCAACCTGTATAATCAAGTTTTGAATTGACATTCTCCAATATCTTTACTTCCTTCTATGCTGGAAAATACTCTGTAGAATAAGAATGTCTTGAATCTCAAGAATGTCTTGAATGAAATTGCCGTCTTGACACAATATTCACAGTTGTACATATAGATTTTCATTTTCCAGAGATACACTCTGCTATTATTTTCACCAGATAACTCAGGACCAAAATGTGTTAACAGCCCATTGCGGCTATTTGTTTAAAAAAAAAATAAATAAGAAAACAGGGATACGAGAAAATGAATTTTGTTTTAATAAGTTCCTAACTGGTTTAATTTTTATCCATGTTTCCCCCCATCACCGCTTTTTCCATTTTATGCTCACTTCATAATCTCCCAATTGTTGAAGCAGTTTCTTCCCACATCGAACCTAACTTTCCTGTTCAGAGTGATATACTGCTGCTACATGTGCTGGATTTCTTCTGTATTATTAGTTTAACTAATATTTACTGAGCACAAGGCTGAACAAGGCACCAGACATTCTAGGCTCTGGGAACACATTGGTGAATTAAAATGTCCCTGCCCTCATGGCGTTTACATTCTAGGGAATCATGGTATGTTATGCAAATTTAAGGTGGATTTTATACTTTAAGGGTAAAACATCTACACAAGTTTTTATTAAAGTAATTTTTGCTTAACTGTTAGGAAAATAACAAAAACTCTGATTTTCCAAAGTTGCCAGACTTCCTAAGCATAGCTAGGAAAAGCCTAACTAGCCTTCCCCTGTTAATGAAATATGCACCAGCCCCTTGGTTCTTAAGGAAGGGATCTTGGTGTTTGTCTCATTTGTGTGTACAACTTCTTAATTCTAGATCTTGTGTACCAAGGCTGAGAATTCCAGACTGGTCTCACAAATTGACAACACCAAACTGGCTGCTGATGACTTGAGAGCCAAGTAAGCCCACCCAACACTGTTGTTCATGACAGAATTCACCCCGCATCTGGTGCTAAATACGCCCAGTAAGATTATCCATAAGTCTCCTAACACTTCTGTCCGTACCATGATGTCACTAGCCCAGAAGAGACCTTCAAATTCAATAAAGTATTAAGATTAATAACCACTCACGTGTATGCAGTACCTGTAGTTTCTAACATATAAACCCATCTGATTTCTGCCCAATAGTTCAGTAAAATAGGTAGGAAAAATATACTGTTACCCCATTTAAGATGAGAAAACTATGGTTTAATGGGGTTCAGTTACTTACGCAAAGGCATACAACTAGCAGTACAAGACAGAGCCCACTCCTGGACGCAAACTCTCTTAAATCCTAATCCAGTGCTCTCTGCACTTACACTGCATCTCCTCTAGGGGCAGGGGAAGGAGTATAAATTCCCTCATCTCAAAGAAAAGCAACGTAGCATCACTCTAGCAAACTAATACAGGAATACTAACTAAGTGGTGATGTTTATCAAATGATATCACCTCTAAAGAGAATAAAATCCACCAGAGAAATACAGTAGATGAGAGGCCCACGGGAAAATGCACTTAGTTCTGCTTGGCTTGATTAACACCATCTACGTTTTAATGTCTTTCACTTTGCATCTCATTTTTAAAGGTATGAAGCTGAGGTGTCCCTACGCCAGCTAGTGGAGGCAGATGCCAATGGCCTACGGCAGATCCTGAATGCACTGACCCTGGGCAAAGCTGACCTGGAGGCACGAGTCCAGTCTCTGAAGGAGGAGATCCTTTGCCTCAAAAACAACCATGAAGAGGTTAGAGAAAGCCCCAGCAAAGCCTCTAAAAATAGCATCAGTTCCTTTCAGTTGAACTTGACAAAGGGTGTCCCCTCTAGATACTCTTCTGTTTTTTTAGCCGTGATAATACCTACTATTACCACCACTGGTTCAATGTATTTCAAACCAATTGCCTGTAATACAGTATTTGAAGCCTCCATTGTCCTCTCCAGCTTTTCTAGGAGAAGGAACTAACCCAATTTTATTGTCCTCACAGGTTTCCATATTTTTGTTTTGTTTTTTTAATATGTCTTTATTGATTTCAGAGAGAGGAAGGAAGAGGGAGAGAGAAACATCAATGATGAGAATCATTGATCGGCTGCCTCCTGCATGCCCCCCCGGGGATCAAGCCCACAACCCGGCATGTGCCCTGACAGGGAATCAAACTTCTATCTCCTGGATCCTAGGTTGATGCTCAACCCTGACCCATGCTGGCCAGCAGCTTCCATATTTTTGTAGGCATCCCTACACAGATTCTTGCCACTACTGGTTTAAGTCAATACTGGCATAAACCCATACTGATATCATAGAGACAATGGCCTCCCATAAATTCCACCTCTATGCTGCTTCTCCCATTACCCATCCCTGGAAATATCTAAATTCTTTAAACCCCTGATCTTGCCAGTCAATTCCTTTTAATGTTGCACTTATTTGAACACATAGTCACATCTGAAATAGCCTTAAGTCATTTTATAGCGTTTGAAAAGCATCTATGAATCATGTAGTCCTTTATTGTGGGCTACAGTTCAGACGCAATTAAGCTACATTATTGCTGTTAGGCTGAAACAAGAATGCCAGGGGCTCATCTGTTCAACAAGTGACTTCACATTCTTTTTCTTTCCACAGGAAGTCAATTCTTTACAGAGCCAGCTTGGGGACAGGCTCAACATTGAAGTGACTGCTGCCCCCTCTGTTGACCTAAATCGGGTTCTACAAGAAATGAGATGTCAATATGAGTCTATCATGGAGACAAACCGCAGAGATGTGGAAGAGTGGTTCAGCACGCAGGTGGGGAGGGGAGGGAAGTCAAAACCAGTGGGCTGACACTGCACTCCCAGGGGCCCTTCAGTCAAAGTTATGTTTTCCTTCCTAACATCCATGGTCCTTGACTGTGTTCCAGATGGAGGAGCTGAACCAGCAGGTGGTGACCAGCTCTCAACAGCAGCAGTGCTGCCAGAAGGACATCATCGAGCTGAGACGAACCATGAATGCCCTGAAGGTTGAACGGCAGGCCCAGCACCAAATGGTACCCAGCAAACTGACCAAGTCTAGCTCGACAGTGAGGGCGACAGTGAGGGCAACAGCCCCTGACACCTGTGTCCTGCAATGTTTCCCAAACTGCGTCCCTCAGAACAATAGCTCCTCTGTTTGTTAAAGGGTCTATGGCCAAAAAAGAGGACTCTGTGGTCAAATAAGCCTGGGGAACGCTGGATTAAACAAAGATTAAACGAGGGGCCTTCCTGCGGGCCTTTAATAAGCTGATGTATACCATGAATCTCAAGGAGGGGATACATGGTATTCAGGATTCCAAAACTTATTGACTGTGGATTCCTTCTTTTTCTTTTCTTTTATATATAT